TGAAATTTAGATGATAAATAAACTTGATTTGGATTTTTTCAACACGATTGACATACTTATGATATTGGGGGTTCCACACTACGCTTGCAAATTCAAGATGGGATCGCACGTAAGAATTGAATAATAGAATTAATGACTTTGGATCTTGGAACTCTTTACTCACTCGTAAAATAAACCCTAAATTTTTGTATGCCTTTTTTACTACATTTTCTATATGAATATCGAAACAGAGTTTAGAGTCAATCGTCACACCAAGATCTCTGATAAATTCTACCTTTTTTATAGTCACTCCATTAAATGTATATGCAAAACCAATTTCATTTCTAAGCTTAGAGAACTTTACATAATAGCACTTATCCACATTCAAGGAGAGTTGATTAAGTACACAATAATTATAAAAGCGATGCAAGTCTTCCTGGAACCTATAGCAATCCTCGATGGATCTAACCACTGCATAAGATTTTTGATCATCAGCGTAAGACAAAAATTTTGAAGAAATAAAACATTCACGTGCATCAGCAATAAACAGCGAGAAAAGCAGAGGTCCCAGGTGAGATCCCTGTGGTATTCCGGAAGTTATATCAATAGATTTCGACTTTACCCCGTCCAATTCTACAAACTGGTTTCTGGAACTAATATAAGATTGTAGAAATTTGTAAAGACAACCATGCACTCCGATATTTCTCAATTTCACAAGTAACGTAGGATGATGGATTTTATCGAATGATTTAGAAAAATCAGTGTACACGGCGTCAATTTGCATTCTCCTATCCAACGCCTCAGATGCATCCTGAACGTATGGCAGTAAATTAGTAACCACCGATCTCCCTCTATAAAAATCATGCTGTGTATCCCCAATAACATACTTGAGTTTGAAAAATAAATACTCTGTTATAATTGCTTCCAACATTTTACCGGGAATAGACAGAATCGAAATCGGCCGATAGTTAGAAACGTCAGTCTTACTACCACCTTTATGAACAGGTGTTATCTTGGCACATTTCCAAATGCTTGGAAAGTGCCCTTCGCTTAGACTTTTGTTAAAAATTATGTGCAGTGGTAATATCAAAGCCTCTGCGCAAGACTTAAGCAAAATCGGCGGAAGACTATCAGGACCTGGACCCTTATTTATATCTAATCTATTAAGCTGGTCTCTAATTTGTTCCTCTGTAATAGAGTTTAACGTAACTGAATCGTATGGCATATCTAATGGCAATATGTTTGATGGAGTGCTAGCAGATACATAAACACTAGAGAAAAACTCTGAAAATGCTTCACAAATCGCTTCATTGGTATTATAAGACATATTTTGATATGTAATAAATTTAGGAATTGATTTTGTGCTTCTTTTGTTATTAACAAAACTCTAAAAAGATTTTGTGTTCGTATTAAGATTCATTTCAGTATTCTTTACGAAATTTCTGTAATCATTTCCTATAGCTGTTCTAACTCTCCTTCTTAAATCCGAGAAATTTACATAGTCAACAGGATTATTGTATTTTTTTTTATTGATAAACCATTTCACTTGTTTATAGTACTCCTGAGCGTGTTTAAATCCAACATTCAAAAACGCGCGTGTTTTAAAGTTACTAATGACAACATCAACAACCAACAGCCCGAGAAAGGTCTAAATGTCAACTTTTTAATTATTGATTTGTCAGGAGTAGGTACTTGTAGACAACGTCAAGTAAAATATAGCAAGTGTCAACGAATTTAGCATTCCACAATTATAAGTTTACTTTTAGCGCTAGCACTAGCGCTAAAAGTAATCACTTTTAACACTAGTGTCATAAAATGGCATTTTCAACACTGACAGCATGCGTTTAAAATGACACTTTTAGTGACGTTTGCAGAAAAAAATATATTTTTTCAATTTTTCCTTTCATGTTTTTTTTTTATTAGTGTAGTAGGTTTTTTCCGTATGTTTCATAAACTTTTTCTTTTATTATTTGGCATTAACATCACGAGGTAATGGTCACAAGGTTAGGTACATACTATTATCTATTCACAATCTGTAGTCCAAAGGTACAGGTAAAATTTATCACTTTTCAATGCTATTTGATAGGGAAAGGTGATAATTTACCTGTACCTTTAAACTACAGATTGTGAATAGGATAACGGGTGTCCCACAGTGGATGGCGTATTAGACGTTTATGGAGAACTAAAAAGCGGATCATTTCGAAAATTTGGCCACCGGGATAAACGACTATGATCTACACATTAAAAACATTTTTTACTATGCGGTGTTGCCGCTTCTACTCTAAACCAGTGGTAACATTGCTATTTTAGATGAAACACCCTGTATGTGATTGCATATTTGAATTCTACGTAAAATTCTGAGCTGATTTCATGTGATATACCCTATACCTAAGTTCATCTGTTTTGAAAATATTGCCAGTTGAAAATTGATTTTTTGCAACTTTGACAGGCTGTCATACCTGAACGGCTAATTTTAGAGGAAAACCGATTTTACATTCCTGTCTTAGATTTTTATAGACTATCATTTGACACCAACTTTGAATTTAATCCATGATTGAAAATTCCAAATAAATTTAATCTCTGGTTAAATTTAAAATTGGTGTCCAAAAATCCAAGATAGGAATTTAAAATCAGTTTTCCTCTAGAATTAACCGTTTAGGTTTTACAGCCTGTCAAAGTTGCAAAAACTCAATTTTCAACTGTCAATATTTTCAAAACAGTTTAACTTAGGTATAGTATATATAACATAAAATCTGCTCAGAATTTTACGTAGAATCCAAATATGCAATCACATACAGGGTGTTCCATTTAAAATAACGATGTTGCCACTGGTTTAGAGTCGAAGCGGCAACACCGCATAAACAAAAATATTTTTAAAGCGTGGATTAGGGTCGTTTATCCCGGTTGCCAAATTTTCAAAATGATCCGCTTTTTAGTTTTCCATTAACGTCTAATACGCCATCCACCGTGGGACACCCTGTATACCTATTATGGTAAATAATAGCCGTGTTCGTTTTAGTTATCTTTTTCGTCGATTTGCTGCGAAACTTTGACAGGCACGTGAGTTGTAAATTGAAACTGTCTGATCCAGTCACGTACCTGTCAAAATTTCGGAGCAAATCGACGAAAAAGATAACAATAACGAACACGGCCTATATTGACATACACAATTCTATTATAACCCATATTGTCATTCTCTTTCATATCAAAAAGTATATGTTGTTATAAGCAGATTAAATAAACGTGGTTTAGATGTTTGCGTCCTTGGTTTAGATGTAGTGGATAACGATAGTAGTGAGGTTTAGGACAAAAATCAAACTCCTGGATTAAAAATTCGCCGACGTTTCGGCCTTATATTAGACCGTCTTCAGGGCTCTTCTTCAATTTGGGAGCTTTCGTAAACACTTAATTCTACAAACTCCACATTGTACATAATCATTTGGGACATGATTGAAACAAAACAACACAAACTTAAATTACGGGACGAGATTTTGACGACACACTAGCAACCAAATTCAACAACCGAAACGCCGGCGGATTTTTAATCCAGGAGTTTGATTTTTTTCCTAAACCTCACTATTGTCATCCATTATTAGATAAACATTAAATACATATTAGGTATTGAGAAAATTTTGGATTAATTTTCTTTGCTTTTCCATCCATAGACGCGTTTCGACCTATCAGCTCTCATCAGTATGGCTAGGAAAAGCAAAGAAAACCAATCCAAGTTTTGCGCCTGTATGCAAAATAGAAGTAGTAAGATGATGAGACCTGATAGATCGAAACGCGTCTATGGATGAAAAAGCGAAGAAAATTAATCCAAAATTTTCTCATCAGTGTATAATCAGGAGAAATCTTTTTTTCCTATTTTGGGTTTTCCCAACTAACTGATTTTTGGTCGGCCTATTAGATGGCATCACTAATTACAGCAAAAATTGCTGTTTAGTGTTGAATCCTTGTCTTAGATGGCGCCACGATCAAATTTCGACCGTCTTACTATTAGGTATTACACACATATTTTACGTAGATACCATAATATTTGGAATATTTGGTAAAATGATGGTAAAATGTGATTTATGGGAAACACCTCGTAGATAATGGAAACATAAAGTGAATAATATGTAAAAATGTTATAGGTACCGGGTGTTTGTTTATAACTGGAACACTCAATAATTTTTTTAATATTGAGAATAAAGGGCATGTTTAAATTGAAAAATTTCTTGGTAAAATGCAACGATCTCAATCGCTACAACGAGATTTTTTTTTGTCGCCATAGGTATACAGAGTGCGCCAAAAAAGTCATTTTTTCAAATGGAAAGTCCTGTATATTTTTGCATTTTTGAAATTCTTAGAAAGTTAGCTTCACAAACATATCATATGTTATTTGGATAACAAAAATATATAGGGCATTCTATTTTAAAAAAATATCTTTTTGGCGCACCCCGTAAACCTATGACGACAAAAAAATATCATTGTAGCGCTTAAGGTTGAAATTTACCAATAAATTTTCCAATTTAAATATGCCCTTTATTTTCAATAATATAAGAAAGTTACTGAGTGTTCCAGTTATAAACAAACACCTAGTACCTATTTAAAGTTCAGTTGTGTATTGTCTTGATATAACATTGACTTATTTAGAAAGAGCATTTCTTTACGTACGCTTTTGTTACTTTGGCCTTACTCTTCGAGCAGACCCTGTAGACCTATTGTTCGTCGTTTTCAATCTGACACTTTCCGTATGAAGAGCGAGGGGGTGCAGCATATGGTATAAACAGGTGTGACGTCAGGTTACCATTAGCATTATTAAGTAGGGAGCCACCAGCTCACATTCCTTCGGAGTATTACATTAAAATCGACAGACTATAGAACTTTGGCACAATGATAGAAAAGTCTTATTTTGGTGTCGGCTACAACCTATTTAAATTTCAGGAAAATCAGCAAAGGGCCGTAAATTACACTTAAATGGTGTCATGTCCTTTAAGAAAATTGATTCTCGTAACTCATTGTTTTTTTTTTTTCAGGCCATAAAATATATTTCACAGAAGGTCACCCCGTCCCTATCAACAATAGAAAACGCAAACCCCAACCCCAACGATGAAACCGGGCAGTATCCGCCTCGTTCCCAATCGCTCCCACCAACTTTTAAACCAATTAAAGCAACTCGTCAGAAAAGCTTTAAGGACAAAAGTATCACAAACACCCAACAAAAATTCCCAAAATTTTTAAATCAGCCTACATTCAAAATAGCAAATAAATTTAAGAAGAATCATGGACAAAAAATCAGAAAACCACAAGAGAAGCCAAAAAGTAAACAAAATAGCAGAGACGTGATTTGCCAATTACCTTGCATCAACCCTGAAAATGATGCTCCAAAAAAGAAATCATTAGTGGCCTCTGCTGAGAGAAAACTGCACACTTCGTCATCAAATCGACTTCTTCACGGAGCATCTTCCTTTGGCACATTCAAAGACCTTTACAAAAAATCCCCCATAACAGCTTTGATAAATCTCAACGAACAAGCTCAAATAAACAGTAACGGTACTAATTTCAACGGACGCAGTACTAGCAAGGGCAAAGTGAAGTTCCATTACCTTGCAGAAAATACCGAATGTAAACAATGCATATCGAAAAATAAAAAACGCATTGCGGAATTTTATAGAAAAAATCAGGACAAAATTAATCTTTTTTCCCAGAAAAAGCGTTACTTCAGCTCATTCATCCACAAACCCACTAAAACCGACTCGAAGAAATTTGAAGAAGTTGTCGTAGTTAAAGATCAAAATTTAGGTTCAGCCAATCCAAGCAATGCTCTGACACTTTTCAGCTTGATTAAACTACAATCGACTAAAAATCCAGCTAAATTTGTTCCAACGAACTTATACAAATTCGAAGCTAAAAAGAAATGTGAAGCTTATGATTTTTCACCAGAGGAATCTTTAACGTTTCACGATGCCTACCCTTTAGATATGTTCCGGGAAGACTATAATAACGATACTGTTTCAGCCCAATCTCTCGCCCAATCTATTCCAAAAAAAGTTGAAACTCTTCCAAATTTAAACGAAAAACATTTGGAGAGGGTCGCTCAAAAACACTTAACTGCAATTAAACCAAGAAAGAAAGATATGTTCAAGAAATTATATGAAATAACTCCTTGTGGTGTGAATCTTCGTGATAACGATCCAAATAACGTAGCAAGAAATGAGTATCAAAGTAAATTTAAAAAATTTACGTTCAAAGTTAATAAAAATAAGCTGTCGGAGAGCGACAAAGCAATGAGCAGAGAAGACAAATGTAAAATAGATAATGAAACAGAAAAATGCAAAAACAATCAACCTAGTGGATTACAAAATCCTGTTCAAGGTGCACCGATTACTGTACAACATAATGATATTGTTGTGGAATATTTAGGTTTAAATTTAGCGAAGAAGAAAATTGTAGATGATGACAAAAACGATAGAAAACGTTTACCCTGTAAAGTACCAAAAACGAAACGCGACACATCAAAAGATCATCCATGTTACAAAGATAATCCTTGTAGCCAAAAGGATTCTAATTACGATAAAAATATAAAATGTGCCCCAAAAGTTGATATTGATTATTTTAAAACGAAACCTATTGGTAAAATTATTGAAGATGATGGTGGACACATTAAAGTACGAAAACTTGAAGAAGCTCCTTCTGTTAGGTATTATAGGCAGGATACACATGAAAACAGTGAGAAAAAATTTTGGTCAGATTTAGCCAACAAGAACCGTCAAAAAGTTATCGAAAATGATAAGTTTATTGAAATTTCCAAAGCGAGAACCGAGAAATATAAAGAATTGATGCAGGCAAAACAAAATCGAGAAGCGATTGCTAAAGAACCATCAACAAGTCATCCAAAGGATAGTTTAAATGAAAAAATCTGCGAAGGTATTAGCAGCCTTTCAAAAGTTGAACTAGGAGAACAGTCAAAACAAATCATTGCTAATGCAATTAAACAAATGATCGAACCTATTATTCAGAAGGAATTTTTAAGGTACGAAGAAGTCAAGTATGCTTTGGAACGTATGGAAAAACGTTTGACTCTCACTCTGAAATCATTAAAACCAACGCAGTCCAGATTTGCTGGAGGTAGCAAAACAGATCCTAAATATAAAAGATATCCATGGCAAAAAATTAGTATCGGTGAACAGACCAAATTACCTGAAATGGTGGATCCTTTGGAGAAAGCTTTAGATAAAAGAGAACCAGGAAGGAAAATTGCTATTAGATCGCCAGCTTGGAGCAGGACGGAGCCTCAACATGAGCCCCTAAAACATACGATATTTTTTTCAAATAAAAATATTTGTGACGACGAAACCGAACAAGTAATTAAAAATAGTAAAAAAGTCGATTGCTTTGCTGAACTGAGCCAAAAAAAGAAGCAGCTTGCAGTCGAAACAGATTGTGGTAATGTGGATCTTTGCAAGCAAACCGGAGACCTTCAAGGAGGAACTGTAAACTGCCGAAAAAAGAAAGACTGTGATGACCCATGCATTCCAAAAGCAGCACCGTGCACCTGGGCGAATGATATTCCTATGAATGTGCCTAACTGTGACAAGAACAAGTGTCCACAAACGCCAAAGTTGAAATTGTGGCCTCCATGTTCAAAGAATGCCGATACTGCGCAGCCCACAACTGTGTTTGATGGTTGTGATGAGAAAAAGTGTCCAAAAGGTAAGAATTCAAATTCGTTCACACTTGACAAAACGTCTGGAGATATTCGTAGGTTAAGCAAAAAAATAAGCCAAAAAAAAAGGAAATTGTGAGCTCCGCGTTTATTTTCGTTTCTGGTTACTCTATCAGCTGAATTTTGCTAGGGGCACTTAGTCGGCATTGTTATCTTTTTCGTCGATTTGCTCCGAAATTTTGACAGGCACGTGATTTGTAAATTGAAACTGTCTGATCCTTTCAAAATTTCGGAGCAAATCGACGAAAAATATATGACAATGCCAAACACGGCTTCTGTAACTTGTTGCATAACGATATAGTTGCCGTAACGACTGACTTGGTAACGATAAATTTAGAAAAGCTATTCGGTAACAAAGCCGTTATAGTTGGGTGAGGTAGCTGAAAATTATAACAGAAGTTTTCACGACTGGCAACCAATGCGCCCCTTTGGGTTCAGATAGTACATGGGTAGCCGAGTCTAAAAAGCCCGGCACACAAATTTTTCTGGCTCTTTAGTGGCATTGATGACGTAATCATTATTGCCGCCCAATTTCTGGGACATCATTCTACATTTCCCTATGCAGGGTGTCCACTTAGTGCGATATCGGACGATATCTCCTTACAGGGTGATGCAAGAACAAAAAATTAAATTACAAAGTTGTTCGATACTCTAATATGCATTAGTTAAGAATATTTTTGAATATACAAGGTGCTCCGTTTATGGGGTATGCGACAGAACTTTGTTTTTTTAAAAGAAACACCCCGTATGTGATTGCATATTTGGATTATAAGTAAAATTCTGAGCAAATATCACGTGATATACCCTATACCTAAGTTCAACTTAGCTTTTTATAAACTATCATTATTTGACACCAACTTTGAATTAAATCCATGAATAAAAATTCCAGTTAAATTTAATCTCCGGTCAAATGATAGTTTACGAAAATCCAAGATGGGAATGTAAAATCGGTTTTCCTCTGAAATTAATCGTTTAGGTTTTACGGCCTGTCAAATTTGCAAAAAGTCAATTTTCAACTGACAATATTTCCAAAACAGTTGAACTTAGGTATAGGATATATTACATGAAATCTGCTTAGAATTTCACGTAGAATCCAAATATGCAATCACATACAGAGTGTTTTATTTAAAATAACAAAGTTCTGTTGCATTCCCCATAAATGGAGCACCCTGTATATTCAAAAATATATTTAAACAATGAATATTAGAGTATCAAACAACTTTGTAATTTAATTTTTTTTCTTGCATCACCCTGTAAGCAGATATCGTCCGATATCGCACTAAGTGGACACCCTGTATAACTCGAGTTTGTATTTTGATATTAACTTATATCAGGTTTGTTTCTCAGAAATCACATCACACACCGGTCAGAGCGAATATCATTGGTTGAAAACAGTCAGAAAATTAGTTTCAACCAATGAAATTGACTCTGACTGGCTTGTGATTTCTGCAGAAACGGACCCATCATTAGTGAATAATAATCAGGAGAAAACGCGCTTTCCAACATCATTTTTCGGTATTTTTTTTTTTTGAATCAAGATAGCTATTTGTTGTATTTTGTTTCTAGGAATTTGAAAACGTTTTTCAAAATTTAATTAGATTTTTCGTTAAAGCGCTGTGACGACAAAAGTAATTTTTTCAAATGAAATAACCTATATTTAAATCCATTCTCTAATCGCTCTTATTTTTCTCATTGCAAATATATACACCGTGATTTATGTAGCCCATGCATCTAATCCACCTGCAAGCTAATACACGGGCTACGTAAATCATCCTGTATAGTTTTTTTTTATCTTTATTTAGGTAATTTGCGATATATTCTCACTTAAAATTCAAATAAAAATAGCCGAAAAGGTATCAACGTAAATATAAATATTTTTTTCTAATTTTGACATTTAAAGTGACACTTTTAAAAACTCGTTGACGTTATCAACTTTTCATCACCAGTTACGAAAAGTAAAATTTTTCGCAACTGATGATGAAAAGTGAATTTCACCATCAGTTGCGAAAAATACAGAAATAAAATTTGTGATAATTTTAACGCTAAACTACTTGAAGTATTGTTATTATATTCTTTGTAGGTACATATGGAAATTTAATTTGATCATGAACTAGACATCTCGTAGACAAATCAAAAATCAAATATTTGCTTTTTAACTTCTTAGGAATAATTTATTGTACATAAAGCAGATTGAGCCGACTCCTCAATGTCACTCGGTACGTCGCTTCCTGAATTGATGGACATTAGAATCTAATAATAATTATTCGTTTACTCTATAAAATTTGAGTGGTTTATATAAGAACAGTATTAATTAATAGTATATTACATACCGAGTAGGGAAGTGTTTCATTACTGTCGAGAGATTTATATAGTCAATCGAGACACGGAGCGTCGAGATTGACTATTAATCTCGAGACAGAAATGAAAACTTTCCTTTGAGGTTGGTATTAGTATATTACAATCCGAGACGGGAAATGCTTCATTACTGGTCGAGAGGTTTTATAGTTTATCGAGACGCGTAGCGTTGAGATAAACTGAACCTCGAGACAGCAATGAAGTTTCCCGTCGAGGGTTGTATACTATTTTATTTTTAACCATAATTTCTTGAAAAAAAAAAATTTGGGGCAACCAAATGAGGTTGGCAAATGAAGAGGAAAATGAGAACGGGAAATATTTCCCTGCTCCATTTTCCGTCCGTGGACGGGAAATGAGGACGGAAAAAATTTCCCGTCCTGGGACAGGTAATGGAGCAGGAAAATGAAAAGACAGAAATGTGAAATTTTCAAATTTTTGAAAAGTCAGTAATGACAACATTTCATATATGGTTAAAAATAATAGTATATTACAATCCGAGACGGAAAATACTTCATTGCTGGTCGAGAGGTTATTATAGTTTATCGAGACGCGAAGCGTCGAGATAAACTCAACCTCGAGACAGAAATGAAGTTTTCCGTCGAGGTTTGTATACTTTTTTATTTTCAACCCTTAATTTTCTGATGCAAAAACTAAAGATTCTGTTATACGAAATTTTCATATAGTGTAAAACTGGCCTTAGAAAAAAATATTTCACTTTTTTTGTCAATGTCATCAATTTTGACGATCTCAAAGGCCCTGTAAAGGCCAAAACAAAAGACGAAACCACAGGAAACCGCAAAATCAACAACCATAGATAAGATCAACAACGCCTTAACGACGGTAGTTTTCGCTCAGTATTTTTGCGGAAATAATAGATTTTCACTAGATTTCTCCCCGTTCTCCCCAAAGAAATGATTTCGGAAAGTGAAGATGAAGCGATGGATTGTACCCCACCTGAATTAAAAGAAGCAGCAGACAGGATTGGAGAGAGTTTGCTTCCAGCAAAAAGCAAATTTCGGTACGAAAAGGCTTTTCAAATATTCGAAGCATGGTGTAGCCAGAAAGGAACGAGAAATACTGCCTCGGAGACCGTTTTGTTGGCGTATTTTGGCGAATTATCTAAGGAAAAGAAGCCTTCGACTTTATGGTCGACTTACAGTATGTTGAAAACCATGATTAAATTGAAAGAGAAAGTTGATATCTCCAATTACGCAAAACTTATAGCTTTTTTGAAGCGGCAAAATCTGGGCTTTCAGCCGAAAAAGTCGAGCGTTTTTTCCAGAGAAAACATTAACGAGTTCCTCACGAAGGCAGCTGAAGAATTCATTAGCATCAAGGTAGGTTTTCAAAAAATATACAAAGAAGATAAAAATGCGAAAATCAAAATGATTTTCTGTATGCTATAGCTAGGTTACCCATTTTATTTTTATCTGGTTTCAGGTAGCGCTAATTGTTGGTGTGTCGGGTGCATGTAGGAGCGATGAACTAGTCAAGATGAAAATGGAGCACGTCAACGTTTTGGAAGGAAAGATCGCTATAGAAATTCCACACACAAAAACTTACACAAGTCGATCGTTTATCATAAGCGATCCAGATTGGGTTGCTATTTTCCACAAATACCTCACTTTGCGGAAAAATTTGAAAAATGACAGGTTATTTGTTCAATGGCGAAATGGGAAATTACATAACCAAGCAATTGGCTATCATTCAATCTCAAAATTTCCACATAAAATAGCTGCTTTTTTGAAGCTTCCAAAAATTGAAACTTTTACAGGCATGCTTTTCGTCGTACTTCCGCAACCTTATTGGTTGACAACGGGGCCGATCTATTGCAACTCAAAAGACTGGGAGGGTGGAAATCGAGCACGGTTGCTGAAGGCTACATAGAGGCATCTTTGGAGAACAAAAGTAAGACTGCTCTGATGCTATCCTCTACTTCCAAAGGTATTCAGTTGTCCAGTGCATCCACAAGTACATCACATGCGGAAACTCATCCGCAAGCGCAAGAGATAATAGTTCCAAACGAAACACAATTCCAACAGGATGGTCTCAAGATTTCCATTATAAACAACAATGCTAATTTAACAATTAATGTAAATAAGTGAATAGATTTAATTAGTTCCATGTAATACATGTGGTTTTATTATTATATGTGAGAGCTGTATGAAAATTATCAATTTGGAACGAGCAGGGAAATGGGGACGGAAAAGCATTTGCCGTCCCGGACGGAAAATGCTTTTCCGTCCTAGGCAGGCATATGCATTACCGTCCCGATAAATGTCAAAGTCCAGAAATGTGACACTTTCAAGATTTTGAAAAACCTGCAATGTCAACATTACATATGTGGTTGAAAATAAACTATTTTATTTGCAAGCAAGTTATATTAACCAATTGCCATGCTGATTTATAACCAATTATCTATTTTTTATATGCTTTAATGTGCTTACCCCTTTCCTCTAGGACTTTTTAAATACATTGTTGTAAAGTAAACATCAAATTGCTATGTCGGCATTAAATGTTTATTTGAGCCGATGCCGTCCCATAAGGAACGTTCATTTGTTTTCTGGCTTTAGTCTGTAGCAATTTGATCCGAATATTTTCTTTTGTCACCTCTGTATTTTAATCAATAAAA